GTATTATTATTATTATTTTTTTGCAAATTCATTCTGCATAATTTCAAAACTGGTGTAATGAGAAATCTGTAGGAATAATTTCTTACAGAAAGCTCATAAATCTACTTGTCCACTAGTCAGGCTTTGTTTTGACTTTTTTTTTATTCCCAATTCAAGTGGATTTTTTTGTTAAAGGGGCATATTATGTGTTTCTCAGGCATAAATTTAAATTCTATACTAAAGTATCTATGTCACCTTTAGTTATTAAAATGCTGTTTTTATGTTTAAATAGGAAATAAACTTATCTTCTCATCATTTCCGTTTCTAAACACCTTGAAATTGGCCTCTCAAAAGGCGGAGAGCCCAGAGTAAGACTYGGCATGTTTTTGATGAGAGGACAACATTATAACATAATATAAAAACTCAAAAAAGTTGATTTTACATGATATTGCCCCTTTAAGTAATAACAGCTTTTGCGTCTCCAATTTACTTTAGATGAAAGGTGACGAATTAAGAAACAAAAATGAGGACAGCACTGGTTTAGTATTTGGCATATTAATTACCACCAACAAAGAGAATTGGTGATAAATTTCATAGTAAAGTCGCTTAGACTCAGAGGTGAGAAACATTGAATATAAACTGAAGTGCAATATGAACTCAAAATATCTGCTTAATGTTTGTTGTAAATTGAATGTCAGTTTTTCTGAGTACACTTGGATAGGTTTCTAGTCCAGAGCAGAATAATTCACGAAAAGTTTGACACCAATTTGTAAAAAAATTTACAAAAAATGTAAAACATATTTTAACTTTGCTACTGTCCCAAATAACTATGTGCATGACGTGTACATGTGCGTGAGTCAGACAGAGTGAAACTGAAATACATTTCTGTCTGAAGTCCTTTCTGGTGCGACAAGCAAGAAAGTCCAGCGGTGACAGACAGATGGCTCTGCTTCTCCTCTATTTAGCGCTCTGCTCCCAACGACTGCAAGGCTATTTCTCATTTCATTAGTGCAGGTGTGTGTGCAGCCGGAAATCTCTACCATCCATCTCAATCAGCATTGTGTCTTCATCTGCTGTCCATCTACATTTTGGCCTCATCCAGTTTTTTTTCTTTCCCCCAGCACAGGAACACAAATCTRATGAAATTAAATACTAATTAATTTCAAATCTTATTCTGACAAATATTTTGTTCATAAAGAGGGGGTAATCATCCTCTTGTGTATGTGTTGCAAAGCACAGCAGCTGTAAATCTCTTTAGAGCATCGTTCTGTGCAGCACCCTGTTAACTGAGGCCTTAACTACTCTGACACACCATGATAAAACATTTAAGTCACTATTGATTTCCCATGCTTCTGTGTGTAAGTGTGTGTGTGTGTTTGTGGGCGCTGGTCTCAGACAGCAAAAGTTGAGGGGGTGGGGAGTGCCTGAAAAGAATTGAGACAGAGGACGAGAAGGGGCAAGCAGAATCTGAGGGACAGAAAGGAAAAGGAAAGCGAAATGCACCATAGTGATCGCACAAAAAAGCAAACAGGAAAAAGAAAAGACAGACAAGGACTGAACAAGTGTGTGTATGTAAAGGGGGGAGGTGAGTGTGTGCATGTGAGGGGGAAGAAATCTAGCYTCATCACCTCCAAATTGAGGACAGATTCAATTATTTGCAGAAACCACATGGAAATCACTTCGCATTGTTCCAGCTGGAGCACCAAATTTGGCAGCAATCGCATTGGCGGCATTGGAGGGGCCATTTATCTTGAAGGGGAAAGAGCGTCTCAGGCGCTGTATGCGTATATGTATGTGTGTGTGTGTGTGTGTGTGTGTGTGTGAGAAAAAGAGAACTCATTTATCTTGCAGGGGAATGAGCAGGGGAACGAGGACGCCCTGGGAGGCGACCAGATCATTACCCATCTGGGATCAGAGACAGAGAGAGATTTCACTAACGCTACCCTGTGGAAAGCCCCCCTGCATGCACGCACGCACGCACGCACGCACACACACACACACACACACACACAAATGTACAATGTATCAATGTAACAAAAGGAGACAAATCTCATTTTCATTTGAGGATGGAAGAGCACAGAAGCTCCACAAATACGTGTATTTATAGTGAGCGGAGAGGACTGAGGCAGGGAATTGTTCCAGCCAGGCAGCWGACTGCTTGTTCCAATGCAATCATTCAGCATCTAGTTGGCTTCCTTTAAATGGATACTTAGATTAAAGCATGTTCTGCTTCAGGTGCCTGCTAAAGTCCCCACTAGAACATTGTGTTGCAACACTCACCAATATTTCTGTCAAAATAAAAGTCTGACTGAGACAAATTTCCAAATAAAAAATAAGAACCCTTACTTTTCAAGAAGAAATAAAATACTAGTTGAGCTAATTCTGATAGCTCTACAGTGATCTTTTCTAAACTGACAACCTGAAACTCAATCTTTTGAGTTTTTTCACTGGAATAACCTTAAGTATTGTGATATATCACTAAATGTGATGCATTCAGTTGTTGTCCTTTCTAGATTTGTTTATATTTCAACTTTTGATGATTCTTCACTTTAATTATGTCTATTGTCCAGCCTGTGTTAGGGCTGTGCACTGAGTCTTGATTGAAACCGGGACTAACACAYCAATTCTCCTGGAACCGTTGGAATTTAAAAATTTCTTACAGCACTGTAAGATTATTTCACTTGATGCGAGTCTGAATCTCCTGAAACGCTGTGAAATAATCTGCCAGTGACTATGCAGCGTACCCCTGTGCAAAGTGAATTCACAACATTTATTTTCAAGTTCACAGGTTTGATATTTATATAGTAGTAGATAATAGTCATGTGAGAAATTCTTAGTGAAGTTCATAAAAAGTAAAAAAGTTAACTTAAGTAAAATTTTTTTAGAGAAGTTAAGACTTTTTCATCCAGAGAGAACTCTGGTTAGCAACTCATCGTTTGAACAATGTAAACATTTCTAACCCTGCCTCTGAAAAGAATCAGAATCATTAGGAACCAAAGGTGGAGTTTTAAATGTGATGACATACAGTAATTAGAATTCCTGCTCCAAAGGAGGCCTCACTTTGAAAAGTTAAGTTGGAAAGTAAATTAAAAAAAAGAAGAAGACAACTCATGTTTAGGCAACTCTACRCTTTTTACAAACAAGATAGATGGACAAAAACAACAAAAAGCTGATTGTTGTATTAAAGGTCCTCAGTGTGTTTTTAAGTGTTTGTACACGGGATGGTCTACCTACCAGAGGCAACGAATGAACGCATCAAAAAAATTATAGAACTGGCACATGAGAGAGAGAGAGAGAGAGAGAGAGTGAGAGAGTGTGAGAGTGAGATAGAGTGAGAGGGTGAGAGAGA